AAAAAAAGAAGATTTTCTATACTACTTTCCAGGCCAGTATTTCTTCTTCTATTCAACCTATACATATATTGTTATTCATCTACTACTATTCTTGTAGGTTTACCAAATGAATTTATTTTTTAAATTATAGAATCAATACATCAATAAATTGATGATACTGTGGCCAATATGATCTTTCTAAAACAAAAAATATATCACTTGAATGATCTTAATGATAATGATAATTGTTTAGCTAGGTTTGATTTGTAAACTCTTACCAATCTTATATCTGCTAAAATTTCCAGTTTCATAATAATGTCCTTTCTAGATATTCCAGTCATGGTAAGTTTTTCAATGCATGATCAGTTAACTAGATCAAAAAACTGCAAGTCATACAATCCTTTAAAAAGGCAAATAACATGGATGATTTGATTGAGATGGATATACATTTTATAGATGCTATTTGCAGAATTCAGATTCTTGCTAGGTAGGCATGAAGCATCCATTCAATCTAATCAAGAACTAATAAAATTGGCCTTTGAATAAATAGTAATAAACCAGTAGATAATTGAACTTTTTGACCATGTTAAAATTAACTTAAAGGTTAATTCAGAAGCAATAACTACAAATATTTATATCGTCCAATATTTTTCAAAATCAAAATTAAATTTCTTTGGAGTTTAAAAGGACCAAATATACACAAACAGTAGAACATAAACTGAAGAACAAATTAATGAATATGTAGCCGAAGAAATAATACTATCAAGGAAATACCACTTATAATTATCTATACTTATACAAAGAAATACAAGTTGAGTCACTAAGCTACACATTAAACTTAGGAAACAGACATAATATCAGATATCCAAAGAAATATGTATATCTACAAATAAACATACATATACACATATTCATACATACATATACATATGAATATATACATGCATGTATTCATATATATATTGCTCATAGAAAAGGCAAAGAAGTTGAAAGATCTCATTATAAAACAAAAGAGAGGGAATGTGACTTCAATAATATTAATAGCGTGAATATTAAAAAATGATGTAAAGACTTAAATGTCAAAATAATCCAATATTTATCTATAGTAGTTGCTATCTAAAAATCTGTATAAATAAATCATACTCAACTAAGAAAGAAATAAAACATTATTTTCAATCATCTA